GGAATGGGGGGGGGGGCTTGGGGGAGTAGGGGAGGGGGGATGGGGGGGGCTTGGGGGAGGGGGGTAGAGGAGGGGGGAGGCGGGTAGGGGAGGGGGAGATGGGGGGGGAAGTCCTAGGATTTTACGTTCCCGCCTTTTTCACGTACAGCAAATGCGCATGCGCGAACACATAAGCGCCCCCCCGCACCCTCCCGCCGCGTCACGTGAGCGTGACCACGTGACGCCCCTTGTGGAGCGTGGCGTGAGTTCGCGGTGTCTGTGTGCTGGCGACGGACCTCAGGTCAAATCATCGGCACATTGAGTCTTCGATTACTTAGCTCGCTCATCTCCCCGCATCGTCACTCTTAGTCGAACGTCGTCGTCTCTCTCCCGAGGACGCGAGGAGAACGCAGAGATGAACCTCACGTCGGCAGGTGAGCGACAAGCGAGGCGCACGGGAAGTGTTGAGTCACGGGGCAAGGCCTGCGCTAGGCCTCAGCCGGTGACTTTATAATATTTTTTTTTATTTGTTTTCGTAGAATTTTGAATTACTTGTTTGGACATTAAGTGCTAACTTGTTTAATGTGTGCGACACTTGATATGTCTAATGGTTAATGTTTGGGATTTGAAAAGTCAGCTGCAAGCGCGTGTAACGCTGTGTGTTTAAATCGGTTAACGAATAAACGCTTCAGTGTCTTTAAGTGTTAACAGTTGACACTTGTAACACTGAATGAACGTGTGTTGAAGTTTAACATGGCTACAATTGTAACGCGTGTAACATTCGTCGTGTCTGATGTCGAACTTGTGCAACATTTAACAAGTGACCATTAGTATTTACAATACTTAACGTGTGTGACGTTAACGCGTTGCCGTGTTTTTGAATGTTATAGTAGGAAAGAGCCCTCCACTAACATAGTTGAGCGAAAAATGTGGACGTCGTTCATAATAACTCTGCGTTATTGTGCTGGATTGTGTATTAAATTAAGAAAAACAGGAGTTTCTCGTAGCACATGAGCGTATCGTGAAATGAAATGTTAGTTATTCAACTTATTCCTTGGTGAATAAATGTTTTCGAGCAGAATTTGAGCATGCCAGCTTTGAATCATGTCCAACTTTTCGAGTTTCGCCTGTGTCATCCCAAGGGTCCCCGTCAGTAGGTTTGATTGATGTTCTTAGGACCAATAACTTTACATTAATTATTATGCACGAATTGTACCATATGCGGATCTGTCGTGTAGTTTTGAACATATTAATTGTCATCGGGCTAGAAATTAGGTCAAGTGAGAATGGTGGAGGACTGACAATCCATGATGTGGCCATCAAAGGAGTGGTAATTGAGTCCTGAGTCTCAATTTTGTCACCGACCATGAACTCCAATTGTCAAATTCAACTCATGATCGTGTACAGTATTGTTTCATTTATCTTCTTCACGTGGCTGGTGATTTGTAAACAAGTAAACCAGCACTGTAGGATGTGAGGACAGACTTTTTGAAAACCTGTTATGTTGAAGCATTGTTATGCATTCAAACATTTTCAGTGCCACGGAATTAATTGCCACATTTCATAACCAACTCCAGTTTATTTGCCACTTGAATTCCACCGTTGTACCAAAGCACGGGTCAAATTTGAAAGTTTGTGTCCCATATTCCAAATAGCATTATTGGCATCATGACAGTGATAGATTTAGAACTCTCAGTCAATCTTGTAGTCACATGAACAAAGATCTACTTCAAATTACCTCACATCCAAGAATACATTAGCGCATACCTTTAGGCTTGTCAAAAATACGTCGGCCACATGAGTGTAATTTTAGACCAAAGGTGCTTGTCTACCTCTGTTCGTGGATCTTATCGCAACAGTAGTAAACGCTCACACCTGTAACTAATGCTCGTTGCCATTTCCACCTTTTTGCTCAATATCAGATCATTCACATTCTCGCCATGAGTTAAAATTATAAGCTTAAAGACGCACACATTGAGGCTGCATATTCATTGCATTTTGATGTCCTTGGAACATTTTCTTTATGCTTATTATTATGTGCTCAGCGCTTAACTTTGCTGCATAATGTCATAATGTGTTTTTTTCATATACGTTTCGTGCCCTGAAGCCGGTAGTAATATCTTTGTCTGGATGAAGATGAGGCCTCAGCTAAAGTATGCTCTGACGGGAACATTTGTTTTTGCTCACCACTTGCATTTTCAACGCATTCCAAAATTAATTGCAGTTACAGTTTAACAACAAATTTAAATGTTGAACACGGGTGTCCCAATGTTATCCTGATTAAAATGTTGGGCAGCAACTGTTCTCAAAACAATTATTAGCATACCACAAGTCATGCAACTCGTTAAAAATTATATTAATCTCGTAGAAAAATTACATGATGCAGTACGAGGAACGTGCTGAACATTATTTAAAGGTATCATTTGTAACACTGAAATCCCATACCTCGGTTTCATAATGTGTGATGCGCCACTATATTGTTGGGAACACGACTAATTCTTCATATTGGAATAAAAACAGACTTTTATATTGTTGCATGTGGATTTGTCTAGATTATAATCAAATCGGGTCAACTTTCTCAAGTGGTTTTAATAGTGGTTTTGACACTGTTTTGTTCAAAATAACATTGCCTCTGTCATTAATGCATTCACTGCTTTCATTCATTGCCTTGCAGGAGTTTGCGCTGCAAAAGTTGAACACACTTGTTGATGACTTTTGGGCGGAAATCTCCGAGTATGTGGATAAAATGTAAGTATGCACACTAAAAAAATTGCAGATTGTTTTAATTTCTTTGTTTTCACCACTTTTGTAATCTGTAGATAAAGGTCATCCATATTGTAGGATTTTTGATGTGTTCCATTCATGATACATGGATAACTCGTGTGAAGGATCTAATTGGCTTTTTACATCGCAAAGACCATGAGAGATGGTGGCTTTTGTGTGGCTTAATCCAGCTGTTGATAATGTAATTGTAGAAATAGGGACTTAAAGCTAATTATTGGCATAATTTTACACGGAAAGCCTGGTTATATATGCCACTTGGGAAATCTTTGCCCCAAGCTATAAATGCTCTGATACGTGCATTGTCTTTGTACAACTCTCATTTTCGCATTCTCTAGTCTGACACTGGTGAGACTAGGCCATAAAGAAGCCTGTCTCGTGTAGGACCATACATTTCAAAGACTTCATATATTATTATTATCAGAGCATGTTTGTTTGCATGTTCACCACAAGTACGTGTGGTTAATACAGACTTCATTCCTCGCAACGGTATCTATTTGGTGTTTGAACATCTTTTTTATTGCCAGAATAGTAAAACCTATTCTAATTTTTCACAAATGACTCATTGTGTCGCGACAACTGTTCTGCCACAGCGAGGTGCTGTACGAGGACGAGAACTTTCCCAGCCGCCACTTTGCCGCGCTGGTTGCCTCCAAGGTGTTCTACCACCTGGGCGCCTTCGAGGAGTCCCTAAACTACGCGCTCGGCGCCGGGGACCTCTTCAACGTCAACGACACCTCCGAGTATGTCGAGACGACCATCGGTGAGTTCTGATCGCAGAGCGCAGAAGGGTGAGAGGGTGTGGTGCCTGGATTTTTATTCCTGAAGATGCGGTGTTGGTTCTGCACAGGCTTGAATTTGATCAACATCTGTACAACTATGATGTGCAGAAATTGTTGGGCGCCATGGTGGCGAGATGGCAACTACCTCGGCTAGTATACAGGAGGTTGTGGGTTTGATCCCAACCCTGTGACACCTGTATATTTGGACTTTGCATGTCTTGTGGTCGGGTGGATTTGTTCCGGATCCTCTGGTTTTTCCCTCCACATTTATAAACGTGCATTGGTAGTATTTGGCTGCTATTAATTTCCATGTGATAAACCACTTAGCTGAGCTATCATTTGTGGTCCGGTTGATTCTGAAAAAGAGCTGTACAGCTCAGTGGGCCTTACCTGGTAAAATAAAAATAGTTCCGTTTTAGTTGAAACAATATGGATGGGGAGATAACGAAGGTATTAGAGAGAGGTGGGTGTTTCAGTCAATAAAAAATATTGACTGCTCTGACATGTTTGGTACCTTGTCAGTGCTGAGCTTGGCACTGCTGCAATGCTTATGTTCAAATCCAGTTTTCAGCCGAATGATTAAACCTGTTTCTGAAGTGCAGTGAGTTAATGTTCTCATCCCAGTTAAAAAATCCCCAATCCCTTTCAATTAACTTCTGCAACTTAATTTGACAAAATTCCAACTCAAGTGGTATGGAACAGAGATAGCTTGTGTGATATTTGCTTTTCCTTACATGAAGGTGTCGCACGGTGGGAGAACAAAATGAAAACATTGTCTTATGACATGATGCCAATAGCACAATCAGCATAAAATTGGGGGGAAATGGTAAGAAATTTCTGAAGAGCTCGGAGTGTGGCAGCCCTTCTATATTAGTCGATTGCTTTGTATGACTAATATACTTAATCCTCTTGGTTCTTTCGGTAAAGTCACGTAGAAGGGAAGTAATAAAATAATAAAAATAAAACATAATAAAACAATTCTCACGACGTTTCGGCCACAACGCAAGCAGCCGTCCTCAGGTGAAAACCAGGTCCGTCGAGGCGACAGAGTCTGAATGAAACAGCACACGAGCTTGGAGCATATATATAAGCTGGGCGCATTGACAAAGGAATTTGCATATCAAAAGGAATTTAGCATATTTATGGGAAATGCAGGAATGTGATTAGTACTGCATATGCATGTGCATTATGCAGGATTAACAGCATCAAAGGGAGCTGCAGTTACTGCTGCTGCAGCAGTTGCTGCTGCAGTTTCTGCTGCTGCTGCAGTTGCTGCTGCTGCTGCAGTTGCTGCTGCTGCTGCTGCACTTGCTGCTGCTGCTGCACTTGCTGCTGCTGCTGCACTTGCTGCTGCTGCTGCAGTTGCTGCCTTATCCATTTTAATATAACACTATGTATTATTCTACCCACCCTAATGTGTATCATACTGCTATATGTTTACTGTACAATTACGACACCATACATTACTCTGCACACTGCACCATGCCAGTGAGTGGAACGCGGTCTGAAAGTCACCGTAAACGTGAACACAATCAGTTAAGATCCGAAATGGTTTATTACGTCCTTCCAATGATTGCTAAGCCAGAATCCATCTTCTCGGTTGAAATTGTCTCTGTGTTTGTATATGTGGATCGCCTCATGAACGAATCTCTCATGATAGCCAGATGGCTTGCAGAGAACCTCTGTCTTGGAGAAGTCAATGTCATGTGAGCCCACTGAATTGTAACAGTGATCTGCCACGGCTGAGGTGTTTGTCCTACCGTGTTTCAGGTCTGCCTTATGTTCACGGATGCGGTCCGAGACATGTCGTTTGGTTTCTCCAATGTAACTGCTACCACAGAGGCAACTTAGTTTGTAGACGCCAGGGTACTGTATGTCTGGAACCACATCTTTTACAGACGGGACCAGATCACGGATTTTATGTACTGTGTTGAATCGGACCTGGATCTTGTGTTTAATCAGGATTTTGGAGATCTTTTTTGTGACCCCAGCAAAAAAAAAAAAGATCTCCAAAATCCTGATTAAACACAAGATCCAGGTCCGATTCAACATAGTACATAAAATCCGTGATCTGGTCCCGTCTGTAAAAGATGTGGTTCCAGACATACAGTACCCTGGCGTCTACAAACTAAGTTGCCTCTGTGGTAGCAGTTACATTGGAGAAACCAAACGACATGTCTCGGACCGCATCCGTGAACATAAGGCAGACCTGAAACACGGTAGGACAAACACCTCAGCCGTGGCAGATCACTGTTACAATTCAGTGGGCTCACATGACATTGACTTCTCCAAGACAGAGGTTCTCTGCAAGCCATCTGGCTATCATGAGAGATTCGTTCATGAGGCGATCCACATATACAAACACAGAGACAATTTCAACCGAGAAGATGGATTCTGGCTTAGCAATCATTGGAAGGACGTAATAAACCATTTCGGATCTTAACTGATTGTGTTCACGTTTACGGTGACTTTCAGACCGCGTTCCACTCACTGGCATGGTGCAGTGTGCAGAGTAATGTATGGTGTCGTAATTGTACAGTAAACATATAGCAGTATGATACACATTAGGGTGGGTAGAATAATACATAGTGTTATATTAAAATGGATAAGGCAGCAACTGCAGCAGCAGCAGCAAGTGCAGCAGCAGCAGCAAGTGCAGCAGCAGCAGCAAGTGCAGCAGCAGCAGCAAGTGCAGCAGCAGCAGCAACTGCAGCAGCAGCAGCAACTGCAGCAGCAGCAGAAACTGCAGCAGCAGCAGCAACTGCTGCAGCAGCAGTAACTGCAGCTCCCTTTGATGCTGTTAATCCTGCATAATGCACATGCATATGCAGTACTAATCACATTCCTGCATTTCCCATAAATATGCTAAATTCCTTTTGATATGCAAATTCCTTTGTCAATGCGCCCAGCTTATATATATGCTCCAAGCTCGTGTGCTGTTTCATTCAGACTCTGTCGCCTCGACGGACCTGGTTTTCACCTGAGGACGGCTGCTTGCGTTGTGGCCGAAACGTCGTGAGAATTGTTTTATTATGTTTTATTTTTATTATTTTATTACTTCCCTTCTACGTGACTTTACCGAAAGAACCAAGAGGATGAATCCCTGCAGTCACGAAAGCTTTAAATCGAAATTTAATATACTTAATTTAAATGTATGACCACCCATTGAGATTAATTATCTTTTATATGCTAATAATGCTGATTGCTTAAGTCATAAGCTTTACTGAGTCTCAGGGACTGGCTTAAGGATGTTTGTCCAATAAAAAGAAATAACACTTGTTTGTATGCATGTATGTTTGGGGATAGTAGGGGGCACAGATGGTGCATCGATCGGTCATCTCAGTCAGTCAACCCATGGCACCTCAGTCTGTCCCGTGACCTCCTGCCAGCAGGTGTTCGACAGTTCACGTGGCCTTAAAGTACACCTGGCCTGGCACAAGCACCGTGGTGACATTACTGACACTTAGTGGCGAATGGCTGTTGTTGTTCTGGGGAAAACACTCATTGAAAGGTCCTCTTTAAGATTTTTTTTTTAACTGTGCGGACTGAGCACGATCAGTTTTCGTTCATTAATTTATTTTCCTTCTGTGCTCGACAGCAAAGTGCATCGACCACTACACGAAGCTTCGCGTGGAGAATGCGGATCTTCCCGAGGGCGACGGTCGTCCCATCGACCCGCGTCTCGAGGGCATCGTGGACAAGATGTTCCAACGTTGCTTCGACGACCACAAGTACAAGCAGGCCATCGGCATCGCCCTGGAGACCCGCCGCCTGGACATCTTCGAGAGGGCCATTTTGCAGGCCGTGCGTTTTTTTTAAAATCCTGTCCCAGTTCCTCGTTTAGTTTTCAGTTTAATTTGTTTAGAATATCCCTGTGAGCCATGCGGCTTTTGATTCGGGTACAACCGCAACAAACAAAAACGTGAACAAAGAACATCTTAAAGTGACTACGCGCAACAGAAAAATCCAGGAATAAACAGCAAAGTCTTCTAGAAAAAAACACCGTATATCAACGCTGTGTGCAAAATTCCCAGTGGGATGCAAGTCAAACAAAAACAACCGCAAGACAATTTTGATTAGAGATTTCAGGATAACTTTGTACTTCAACAAACAAACGTGGCTTAACCAGATGTTTTCGAAATCACCAAAATAAAACTATAAAAACAATGTCACAGATCATAGGAACTGTAATTCAAATTTAACAATAAACGATATACATAACATGTACACTAAAGTTAATGGCACGACCATGTGACCACCCTGAAAACTAATTTGAGGTCCTAGACATCATAATCAATGGTATCTGCACATTCTACATGTACATACGTCCCTTTTGTCAATACACGCCTCTGGGTTGTGGGGATTATTTAACTGCACTTCAGTAACCTGGTCAATGCCAGTTCGTTTAAGGAGGTGGGCATTGATATTTATATTTGTTGAACTTCCTTCGCACAATACGCAGCCAACTATGATAATCGGAGGTACGGAAGCATAGCAGTGCAGTACAACAATGGATTGTGCTTCATTGTCTTCTGCTGCCCACAACATAGACCCGCATAATATTGTTATGCCTGCTTTTTGCATTGTTTTGTCCTGGTTTAACATTTCCCGTATTACGCTCGACTTAAGATATGGGCAGTGCGCTGGAATGGGTGGAAAAGAATTGGGTGTAGCCACTGAGCGGTAGGTGTGGCCAATATCACGGAGCCAAGGGCACTGTCTGGGTGGGGCTAGTGATTGAGTAGGTGTGGCTATGCAAAAATGGGTGGGGCTGAGAGCAATTGAGGGTCTAGCAGCTCACCATGTATCCCGGCTGAGGCTCCCAGGACATTGGCAGCATGACTTACCTGGAGCGCTGATTGTATGTATGTATATATGTTGAGCTTCTTTAGCACTCTACATAGCCAACCGTGCTAATCAGAGATGCGGGGGAAGGACAACAAACTAAAAATGTGAAAGCTGTCCTAAAGAAATGACTAGTTGCAGATGAATGGATGAGCGGTTGTGCCTATGGTGACGCGTGTGTTACTGTTCTTCCCCGCAGACCGACGTTGCCGGCATGCTGTCGTACAGCGTCAAGATCTGCATGTCGCTCATCCAGAACAAACAGTTCAGAAACGAGGTGCTCCGGGTCTTGGTCAAGCTCTACATGAACCTTGAGCAGCCAGACTTCATCAACGTCTGCCAGGTGAGAGAGAGAGAGGGCCGTTTGGGAGCGTATGGTATCGACGCCTTCTCCGAATGTTTACGACAGGGGTGGAAAACGCTTACCTTTGGGTCTAATCGACCTGCAACCTCCTTCATAGGGTCCCGTGGCCAAATGAGGCCTGCCACTTAGAAACGGGCCTGCAAACAATATTTTTCTGTCACTGCAAGCATCTTAGCGGCACCAATCCAGTGGACTTTTTTTTTGACTGACAACAATGCTGTGTTTCTAATTTTAATGCGTTCATTCGCTTTGCTCGCTGCGAAGAGGCCCCCTTGCAGGGACAGTTGTGACACTGAAAGTTGTGCTCGTGGGTTTTTTTGCCTGTCGAAGGTATTTGAGAGTCCTATTGGGCCATCTGTAACAAAAAAGGTTCCTCATCCCTGGATTTGAAGCTTTCGTGACTGCAAGGATTCATATTCTTAGGTGTTTTCGGTAAAGTCACGTAGGTAAAACATTAAAATTAATGAAAGTAAAATAAAATAAAAATCGCGACGTTTCGGAGGCAACACAAGTCTCCGTCATCAGGTGGGACCGTCACAGCCAGATTTGCTGCATCAAGTGAGGCAATGATTCAAGATGTAATCCCTTAAAATATATTGGCTACCACATTCTGATGAGCTCCCCCCCCCTCTCCTCCCCCCTCAACTTGCTCCCTCCACATTTTAAATCAATGTCACTTCGCTATTATCTGTGATAGCCAGGCCGCTTCTGAAAAAGAGCTACACAGTTTAAAGCTTTCGTGATTGCAGGGATTCATCCTCTTGGTTCTTTCGGTAAAGTCACGTAGAAAGGAAGTAATAAAATAATAAAAATAAAACATAATAAAATAATTTTATTTTTATTATTGCATTACTTCCCTTCTACGTGACTTTACCGAAAGAACCAAGAATATGAATCTATACAGCTCAAGTGGGCCTTAACCTGTAAAAAATATTTTTTTGATAGAACTTGCCATTCTAAACCAACGTTACATTATTTTTTCTTGTTCTTCCCCGCTCCCCTCCCCGTGCGCAGTGCCTCATCTTCCTGGACGACCCGCAGGCAGTGAGCGACATCCTCGACAAGATGGTGAAGGAGGACAACGTGCTCATGGCTTACCAGATCTGCTTCGACCTCTACGAGAGCGCCAGCCAGCAGTTCCTGACGGCCATCGCGCAGAACCTGCGAGCCCTGGGACCCACGCTGCTCGCGACCACGCCGGGCTCGAGCAACGCGGGCACCGTCCCCGCCGCTACCGCTGCCGACACCACCACAGCCTCCGGCAACGGCACCAGCAGCGCAGTTGCCTCCACGGAGGGGGAAATGTAAGTATGGGGAAAAAAAATCCATGTTGTACAGTGATCCCTCGTTTATCGCGGTTAATGGGGACCGGAACCCCTCGCGATAGGTGAAAATCCGCGAAGTAGGATTGGCCCCCTAGGAATTTCCGTATATGTGTGTGTGGGTACCAGAATGTTTAAAATATGTATATTTATACTTTATATATATATATTTTACTTATATCTATTTAATTATAAAACCTTAATATTATACATTCACTCTCTCTCTCTCATATGATACGTATTATGGTGTTCTACACTCACCAATGACAGTAGTATCTTGAGACTTGACTCCAGTAATGACGACGATGACAATGACGACGATGACAGACCTGTGCAGTTCGATGAATTTGATGATGAATGATGATGATGGTGTTACTGCACAGGTATAATGAGGCCTTTAAATCAGTTCGAAAAATCCGCGATGCACCGAGACCGCGAAACTTGAACCGCGAAGTGGCGAGGGATTACTGTATTCCGTCCCAGTATTGTTTGTAGAGTCTCTAGGCCACCAGGTGGATCCGTCAAAGTTTTTCTGTCGGTGGTTCCAATGGCTTGGGGAGGCTTTCATCCAGGAGTTTATTGACGTTGGTTCATATTGACGAAGATGTTTATTGTTGTGTATCTCCAAAGATTCACAGGTAAATTGGGTTGACGAATTGAATATGCATACTGCAATGAAAACTTAGGATAATTTACGTTACTTAATTGCTTAAACGTTATCTTATCTGTTTCTCGAATGATAACGTTTCTTGTCTTTTTGTCAGTGCAGTTGGCTTCAGGATTAACGGCAAAGGGCACCCTAACACAGACGCTCAGTGGTCTTCGATTCAATACTAAAAGCGAATGACGGCATGCGCTGAGCTTATCTTCATATTATCCAGCAAGAGATAGGGTGGCACAACAATTGATCTGCAGCATCACAACTGTGAATCCTTGGTTGTATTAATAGCACAAGCCATGGGTTATTTCTTCCCGGAAGATATGCGTCTCGATGCGAGTTGGGTTTGCATCGGCGGAAAATAACCACATTTCTTAACTTACCAGTGACCAATCTGAATATGCAATAAAGAAGCGAAAGATTTAATTTTATAGACAACAGCTGCATTACTCAGAAGTATTGACTGTCACACTAATGAGCTTCCTTTCATCAATAGCAGACGGCTGAATATAGTTTGGATGGAAGTGGTGTATTTCTTATTGTTAATTTTATCATGCAGTTACATTAATGCGCTCAGAGTGTGAAATTGTGCTGGGTTGTACAGGGACTCCTCTGCTTACGAACTAGTTAGGTTCCAGAGGTCTGTTCAAAAGTCGATTTGTTCGTAAGTGCAACTTTACTCCTGTCGAACCCAAACACATCTGGCATGTACACTAAACACGGGGAAATGGCTTTAAAAGTGCTATAATATCCAGCAGATTTAGATGCCACCACCGCCATCTATTGCGCGGCGGTTGAACTTACGACTCTCGGTCCGAACAGGATACGGACCCCAAATTTGTTCGTATCTCTCAAAGTCCCAATGTCTACTGTTCGTAAGCAGAGGAGTCCCTGTATTTATTTTGCTCTTCATGTGTTTGCAGTTGTAATTATTAAAACTAGCCTTTAGAGGTCACTGTAGCCCATTGCAGAGAAAACGGTCTTTAAATAACCGTCGAGTTGATAATGAACGCTCTGTACATTGCTGATTGCAGGAAGTAATGGCCCAAGACAGCTGCAAATATTGATTGGAGTTTGTAATTGCAATGTTGTTTTAATTGCTTCCAGAGAGGCCATGGAAACAGATGAAAAGCCACCCACGACACCGACTCCTCCAAAACAATCAGAATTGGTACGTCACCCTGTATAAGCACATGCCAAGGAAAATGTATAATTAAGCGCCGAGTGTGTGTGTGTGTCGTTACTACTGTATAAACCAATAAATGCGTTCGATGTGCTCTCTGTTTTCTCGACAGTCGTCGGAACAGGTGGAGCGAACGAAGAAGATGATTTCCATCCTGAGCGGAGAACTGTCCATAGAACTGAATCTCCAGTTCCTGATACGAAATAACAACACAGATCTGATGATCCTAAAAAACACAAAGGTGAGCAGCAACGTATCGTGTAAGTTGCAGGCAAGGCTTTCGCTGGGAATTGTTTTAATAAAGACTCCACCACGCAGAAGCATCTTACTTGGGGAGATATGCCTCTATTTTTATATCGTGGGTTACATCGATGCACATTTTTCTGACATAAATAAATCACACTTGGCTCACGAGAATGACCTCTACGTACAACCCGTACAAATTTAAAATTGAACAATTAAAGCATGTTAAGTAATCGTGCACCAGCCATAATTACTATAATCTTGTGTGGTGCTCCCTCTGTGAACTTGCCTAATTAAGACTGTGATTAAAAAGTGAGGTTGGGCTTCCGAATGGGCCCCAAACTCATCAGTCACAAGAACATTGTTTTGGCACTTGCGTCGTCGCTTCCACGGAGCACCGTGCCCTCTCTTTGTTTTGCCGTCTCGCTGTCAGAAAATTAATTTAGCAAAGCAAATCGACGAAAAACAAATGGTGATATCTTCTTGGTTCTTTCGGTAAAGTCACGTAGAAGGGAGATAATAAAATAATAAAAATTTAAGATAATAAAATCATAAAAATATTAGTTTCTTTTTTCTTTTTAGTGTTTTATTTTTATTATTTTATCATCTCCCTTCTACGTGACTTTACCGAAAGAAACAAGAAGATGAATCCCTGCAGTCACGAAAGCTTTAAATCGAAAAATGGTGATATAATGATGAGCAACGATGCTCTCCTCTTGTAAATAATTATAATTATTTTAATATACAAAACTGCTCGTCATCGAGTGCAAGTGGATTGAATGGTACTGGTAAAGGTGCGACCCTGGCTCATGGACCCCCACTGGAGTTGAATCTCTAGAGACCCCTCTACAAGGCATCCTCTCCCTACGATAGCCCGACATCTCGGGAGAGGAGAGGTGGGAGAAGGCAGTTGTTATTGACACATTATTGCGCGCTTTCAGATGCGCTTCTGCGGCCATCTGGAACGCGCTCTTCCTTTCAACATGGAACTATGCACACTCTTTTAGAATGATAACTCACTTCTCTAGAACCTGCTTTTGTGTTTAGTTTGTCCTTCCTCCGCACCTCCGATTAGCGCGGTTTTCTACGTACAGTGCGAAAGACGTTCAACATATACAAGCATGGTTTACAAATTTCAACTACTGGGTGGACATGGTGGGTGGGGGGGGGTTTAAGAAAATGTGCACCCATTGTTTCAAATGTCGACCCGGGAGGACGCATTAAACTGGTGTGCATATTGCAAGCGTGCTAACCATTACACCAGAGCAACATCTTCTATTCTTACGAAAGTGATCCAACTATCAAAAATGCGTGTATTGATTGCTGTAGAGCATGTCCGGTGACTGATCACCATTCGCGCGCACGCGTTCGAACCATCCGTTTTCTCACGTATTTTTTTGTTGGCGCAGAGCTGTTATAAATTGCAGGTGTCCAGCCCGGTGATTGAGTGCTGCGATGTAACATTAGCGGGTGGCGCGAGCACGCCAGCCCGTTAGCGGTGCAATTAGGCTCGTGGTTTACGCCTTGGCGTGCGTGTCTCTCCCCCCTCCCCCCCGCAGGACGCGGTGAGGAACTCTGTGTGTCACACCGCTACCGTCATCGCCAACTCCTTCATGCACTGCGGCACGACCAGTGATCAGTTCCTCAGGTATTTAAAGGCTGGCGTACTCGATCAGTAACCCGGATGAGCATCTCGGTGGTGGAGGCTCATCATTTTTCGATTTAAAGCTTTCGTGACTGCAGGGATTTATCTTCTTGGTTCTTTCGGTGGTGTTCATTCAGACGCTGTCTTTCTGACAGACCTGTTCTTCACCTGAGGACGGCTGCTTGCGTTGTGGCCGAAACGTCGTGAGAATGATTTTATGATGTTTTATTTTTATTATTTTATTATTTCCATTCTACGTGACTTTACCGAAAGAACCAAGAAGAGGCTTATCATCTCAACCCTGCCAGCTCATTGCCCTGATCTCTTGAAAGCTGCCCAGACAGCTCTTGTTAATAAGTCTTTTTCCCATTTTTAACCCAATGGTACTGTCACGTGTGTCACGTCATTGGGAAATAATTAATTCGGATCTCTCGCGGTGCACCGCAACTCAATTACTGAACCTGAACTGGCATTTTATATTCATATTATTTGAGTCTTTCGGTAAAGTCACGTAGATGGTTCAAAGAAAATAACAAAAACTACGACGTTTCGATCACAACACAAGCGATCGTCATCAGGAGGAAAGCTGCTGAATGCAGATTGTTGTTATAGGGTGTAGTAGTCCTCGGGTCATAAACGAAGTGGGCAGGGCTAGTGATGTTCATGTGAGAGATTAGCATGTTGATGTGAGAGATTAGCATGTTAATGTGAGATCGCAGAGCCACCGCGACGCAGAGGTCGGCGTCCGTAGGTGGCCACGTTGGCGCGAGAAATTAAACCTGCTAATGTGAAATCGGAGAGCCGAAGCCACGGGGAAAAATTAAAAATTAACATCGGAAGGTGGCAGGAATGGGAACATCACAGCCAGTTATGACTTAAACTGGTTGATAACGTCCTTCCAATGATTGCTAAGTTTGTATCCATCTTCTCGGTTGAAATTTTGTCTGTTTCTATATATATGGATGGCTTCATGAACGAATCTTTGTTGATAGCCAGGGGGTTTGCAAAGTACCTTCGTCTTAGAGATATCAATTTCGTGTGAGCCACCGCATTAAAACAATGATCAGCCACAGCCGAGGTATTGGTTCTACTGTGTTTCAGATCTGTCTTATAAAATAAGCTACCCTTGTCTGCTCTGCCAATGGGCTCTCCACTGTGTTCATTCTCACGAGTCCCAGTGTGGTCCCTTAGGGCCTCTTTGGTTTCAAGCGACCCTGGGTAATCACTATTTTCACAAGCGAGTGTTCTCTTCCTGCTCAGACGTTTGAAGCAGTGGGTTATCATGCGGTGCTTTGTACCTGGTGTGCCGCTGTATTCCCTCCATGCTCATTGCACGATTTTCAGTTTCTCGGCAGAGGTGGAAGTTGTAATCCACACTTTAACGAGCGCATGTGGCCATCTGGAACGATCTTCTGATATTAGGAAGCCACTGGAGCTATGCACTTTTTAAAATCTAGATTGAAAACTTATTTTTTTAGAGCTGCTTTTTTTTTTTGTTTTTTTTATCCTCCCCCCGCACCTCCAATTAGCATGTTTGGCTACGTACGGTGCGAAAAGTTTAACATACATACATATACGACTTTGGTGTACCCATTTCCACTGCTGGTTTCAAGCGACCCGGGGTAATCTCGTGGCACTCACTCACTATTTTCACAAGGGAGAGCGTTGTTTTTCTGCTCAGACGTTTGCAGCAGTGGGTTTTATCATGCGGTGTTTTGTACCTGCGAGTCAGCGGCAATGTCCTAGGTGTGCCGCGGTATTCTCTCCATGCTCATTATTTGCACGATTTTCAGTTTAAAAATTTTTTTTTTGTCACTTTCCATTGTTTTTGATCAATGACATTACAGGTGACATGCACTGATTTGAAAACTCTCACGTGTTTGTCCGTATGTTGCTTTTCGTTGTACAATTGCTGCTTAGAAAAATAACTCCATCCTGCTGGTTGTTGTCTGCGTCTTTGTGTTGTGGCTGTTTTATTTTGGCAGCTGAAGGTGGTTTCAATTCCGTACTTTATTGAATTTCATTGGTTCATAATTCATTTTACACATGTATCATGATGACCTAATCACACCCATTGACTATATTTTACACTTGAGCATTTAGAAATTTAACGAGATTATGAATTCATTTTCAATGTCCTGCAAGTTAATTTGCCAATAATTTGAATAGACGTGCAATCAAATCTGTGCTGCTGCATTACTAAAACATGCCATTGGTTAAAATAATAAAACTTGTGTACGGAAATGTGTTCACGAAAGGTCATCATTTGGCCGTTGGCTAACGCGAAATAGTGCTGATTAAGATATCACACTTAATCACCTTCGCAAATTACAGTAAAACGATTTAATGTTGATGCACAATGGTTTATATCTCGTGCATCTCCGATTAGCGCGGTTGGCTACGTACGGTGTGAAAGGAGTTCAACATACACACGTTTTGCAATTGACAGAGACAACTTGGAGTGGCTGGCACGGGCGACCAACTGGGCCAAGTTCACAGCTACCGCTAGCCTCGGTGTCATCCACAAGGTGTGTAATCGTCCGTCAATTTCATGCAAACTCCGGTTATCCTCGCGGCGGCAGCAGCTTTTGGCTGGCCCTCAAACGGAACGGTCGCCGCATCGCTCGCCTTCGGGATGCGCTTCTGCGACCGTCTGGAATGCTCTTCCGTTATTAGGAAGCCACTGGAGGTATGCGCTTTTAATTCTAGATGGAAAACGAATTTCTTTAAAACAGTTTTTTTGTGTTTAGTTTGTTCTTCTTCCCCCCGCACCTCCGATTAGCACGGTTGGCTATGTACGGCGTGAAAGAAATTCAACGTAAATCCATACAATTCATTTATGGATGATGGGCCTGCCCATGCTATGAGGGTCGTGGAGGTTATTGGACCATACTTCCCCATTTTGATGAGAGTGGGTTATTGAAGATGCAGCAGCATAGAAAGTCCAGTACAACAACGGACTTTGCTGCAGTGCCCTCTTTCTACGAGGATTTGGAGTTTAGAAACTCTTGGCTCCACGGAGAAATGTCAGATTTTTTTTGTCCTTGAATTGTAACAGGGCCACACGGCTGTATTGACCCCATACACATGTACACATTTCATATGTCTAATGTGTTTTCTTAGTTTTAAACCCTTTTTGTTCAATCTGCCGTTGGGTTAGTCATAGGAAATGATGGCTTTGTCTCCTATCTCTTTGCCCTCGGGCTACATATAATTGTTGTGGCCTTTGTGTGCACGTGTGATGAACATGCTGTGGTTCTATCTCCGAACCACATCATCATAGAATGGCTGGCAGGAATATTCATATTATATTTTTCATTTATTTATCACCAGCTGAAAAGCTCCATTGATGAAATGTAAATACAAGAAAAAAAATTGGTAAAACCGCTAATTCTATACGTTGTCAGCTTGGAGATCTTATTTCATTTGCATCATCCAAAAAGTGGTTACAATCACCTATTCTGATACGTCGTTGGGGCGGTGGTTCACGCCCTGCTCTGTGAACCCGGCGACCAGAGTTCACGCCCTGGCCACGGCCAACAACAGTGGCCAGTGATGTCTGGGGCTGATGCGTCCGGCTCCATCTTAACCAACCCAGACTGACCAGCATAGCGAAGCATGGTCAAATGACCCCAATGACTGGCATATCGTATGGGAGGCCGTCATCAAGCAGTGGATTGACAAAGGGCTGTTCATGAAATTATATGATGATATATCATTGTCTACGGGACCCTTTCAGCAGTATCCAAAATGATGGAAATATAAGATTAGGTTCGACCCTTTCTGGCGATAAAAAATGCATTACGATGTTCAAAAACCAAATAGATACCTTTTGTAGGCCAATTGGTTTCAAAGACAATGCAGAAATTATAGTCAGAGCCTGTTTGTTTGCATGTTTTGCCACAAGTACTTGTGGTTAATGCACACTCTCGACGCCTTGCAAACGGTATCCAATTGGTGTTTGAACATCTTAACTCCTGTTTTATTTCCAGAAAGGGTAAAACCTCTTCTTATTAGTTCATGATATATCATTAGCTGTCATTTACCGGCGCACTATTAAACACCACACACCAGCCCGCCCTAGATGCTCACACTGGGAACCGTGTTTCTTGGTGACCTTAGATTCCCTGAGTCTGCACCGTGGAGGTTTTTTTTTTTTACCGCCCTATCTTTGACGATTTCTATGTCCGTTGCGTCGTTTCACGTGAATCGTCCTGTAATGCATCACAAATGCATCTCGAAGTCCCCATCCCCCCCCCCGTCTCTTCTTCGCTCGCCGTCTGCAGTGCCAAGTGATTTATTTTGTGCAATGCACGCGGGCGCAGCGGAGGTGATCATGTCTCGTGTAGAGGATGACCCCCCCCCCCCCCGACTGGCGCGGCGGTTGTGTGGATGAAATATTTTTCAGTTTGTCGCAATTGATGGATTTTAAGAACTTGCAAGCTCTCTTGCGAATAGTGTGCGAGGGTGTGTGACTCTTAGTCCACTGCACAGCAGGTGTGCAAGCCTCTCGGATGTTTGGCAGTTGTGCTGTAAAGAGTTTTGGTGCGTTCTCTGGTTATATAGAGTGTCCTGCACGATGTTTGATGTTTTGTTTCACATTCTGAAAGCGTCTTCAGAACCTGATTTGAACGGAAGTGAAGTGAGCTCTGTTAAGCTTTTCGAAGAAGCTCGCAGCATGTCCAGCGAAATGTCGAGCATTAAACAGTACAACCCGAAAACACATCACAATTTGATCAGAATCAGAATATTTATTTATGCTGGAGGATGAATCTGAGCTATGAAGCTCTTTTTCACAGATGTCCAGTAGGGGCAGCTCAAAAAGTAAAAAAAAAACTCAGATTTTATCTTTATAAACATACATAATTATTTTGGTCACCTATGGAAATAATTAATTTGCGTCGTATCGGGACCCATTTTCACCAGGGTCCATTCATCTGTTCCTCTTTTTACTGATTTTTTTACCGATTCGCATTGACCAGCGTAGTGAAGTTACGCTCAAACAAACCCGCTCATGAACTGACACAGTTTGCGGAGTCCTTCCTCCAGCAGTGCATTGACAAAGGGCTTGAAATGATATTAGCTATAACTGTTCTTATTCGAGTAAACACCCTGCTTAATTTGAGTACAGTGCATATGGAATGGAAATAAAACAGATTGGCCAAAGAATACCCACACATTCGAGAGAACGCTTAATGCGCCACTACAGATAGCGTGTCAAACCGTTTACTCTGCCCAGACGGTTGGCTAAGTACGGTGCGAAATAACTTCTACATCCATCCATCCATTCTGTGGGTGTCTTTTCGCATAATAATTTGCCCCGCAGTGTTAACTGGCAGTGGTGGGAATTAAATCAGCCGTGTGCCACAGCAGTGGCGATCACATTTTCCACTGGGCTCTTCAGCTGCCGCGGAAGTCTCGCGGCTCTTGCGCGGTTAAGCCAAATGTTGCATCTGCAGCAGCTCGATTGTGCAATTTGGTGAACGCACTTCAGCAAATTAACGAGCTGCCTAACGGAGCAAGTAGAAGCATTTAACCGTTTATAATGGGAGTGCCCTAAAGAGATGCAATGTAGCCGAAGGTCTTTGTGCGTTCATTAATTATATAAAATTTAATTAACTCGGGTGTCTGGTGGTAGATCAAGTTTACTTGATCCTGAACATATGAAGGCGGCTTGTGCACTGGCCCGCAATAAATTGGCTTGGAAAGAACATTGCCATAAAATATTTCCAACTAGTTCTCCCTGTCTATATAAATATACAACCTGTTCCGCGCTCTTGTCAATAGGGCAATTCAAATAAAAATAAATGTACAACCCTAAAGAGTTTACAAAGGATGGGCCTGCATGTCCAAGTGAGGTGACAAAAAGATTGTGAGCTAACCAACTTTGAATAGCAGTCGCAATGAATTTTGGAACCAATACTTTACATTAATCTCCACCTGTAAAGGTTGTGGTTGCGTAACCAAATAAGTAATATTTAAAAATACTTTTTTTTAAACACGCTTTAATGAAATGTACCGTACTCATAATGGCAAAACTCCACGACTCCAGGAAGTGGCCCTGAAGCTTGCCATAACGTAAGGGGGCAGTGGTAATTTACAGCCAATGTCAGTTTACCGTGGAAAATTAGACCCAAGCCGAAACATAACATATAAAAAACATGGTTTAAATTTTCAATTTTTAATGATAGAATATAGTATTGTCATCAGTATGACATAAGTATACCAAGTTTGCAGTCGATACCACATTGGGAAGTGGGTTAAAATTGAGTTACAATATTTGAGGATACGACAACAACAACAATAGACAGAGTGAGTAAAATAAAAGCGTGTAAAAAAGATGGCATTCATATACATGCACGTGCTACCATGCGAGAGAGAACATTGTTCACTTATTATTTACATTTCGATTTAAAGCTTTCGTGACTGCAGGGATTCATCTTCTTGGTTCTTTCGGTAAAGTCACGTAGAAGGGAAATAATAAAATAATAAAAATACAACAAAATACAATTCTCACGACGTTTCGGCCACAATGCAAGCAGCCGTCCTCAGATGCAGAACAGGGCTGTCGGAAAGACAGCGTCCGTCGTGAGAATTGTATTTTATTATGTTTTATTTTTATTATTTTATTGTTTCCCTTTTACGTGACTTTACCGAAAGAACCAAGAAGAGGTATTATTTACAGACACGACGAGTAATAATAAAAGGTTGGTGGTTATGAAAACAGCCTTTTGTATTAATACTTTTAGAAACAAGTCATTTGGATCGAAATTAGTTGGGGTCGATTTCCGGGACGAGTTTTAGGAGCGATTCTACAATTGAATAAAGGAAGGAATTTATAATTGAGAGTTTTCAAGATACTTGATGGAGATGCTGTGACTCCATACATAAAAACATAATAGACAATCCACTCGGGAAAAATAATCCTGTCTCATTTCATAAATCCTCATGTTCCCATGTACTATTTGTTATTCTAGCAAATTTACTTTGACTGGTAAATCTAGAGGTGAAGTAAGAGTAATCTACACAAGACCATAAATATTCCGACTATAAAGACTTTACAACCTGTGTCAATGGCAAATTATATCTTAAAAACCAGAAACTATTTCATAAAAATTATTTTAGCAGGCAGGGAATTGATATACAAAGCTTGACAATGTTATTCCCGTAAAGAAAGATTGAAAAGTGGGTGTACGAATTTAGTTTTTTCACGGAAATTGACGCAATAATTCAATTGTATACCCGAGTTCAAACGAGATCAAATAAAATTAAAAGTGTTGGCATCTTCACGAACATTTACATCCCAAGTATTATCTCCTGGAGCCTTGTCATGCGGTGATGGACTGTCCACTGGCAACTGCGTGACTCGGCAGACTTGCATTGTCGGGAAACTACCCCACAAGTTGACATCGCACGGCTCTTTCTGGAACCTATTTAAGATATTGTACCTTTGTATCGTTCGGCATGTGAGTTTCGGTATATTTCACCCTTGAAATTAGAATTATCCATAAAACACGTGCTATAGCAAATAAATAAACTTTTATAAAATACTTAGAAATGGGGGACGGGGGTAAAAACCTTCAAATCTTTACACTCGAATCCAAGGTTGCCCGGATATCGAATCCACGTTCTCAACGTTGGTGGCTCGGTGTGCTACAGTAGACATGAGCCACCCTAATTCGTCACCCTGGTCAGCCCACTTTGCTTTCATGTTGAAGTAAAAGACGTGTAATCGGGCACGTGAGTGACTTCGCTGTGCGAGTGGCATCCTTAGCGGGCTGTGTAGGCTCGCACCCCCCTAATGCAGTGAATTGGTGCTTGTTGGCTCAAGCAGATTTGAGAAAACACTTTTAAGACGTGGTGGAGAAAACATGACGTAGGGTCTCTCGGCTCCTGATGAAGGACGGCTTAAGTCTGTGTTTGGCTTCTGTCTGAATCGTGTGAAACAACTTTTACAATCTTTTCATACCTCCTGTCTGGGCGTTTCCCCACCGCAGAGATGTCTTGCCAGTTCCATTTTCATCAAGCAGACGTGTAAAACTCTCAACTCCGCTGGGCTTTCTGTGTGGGCAGCCCAGTGAATGGTTTTGCCAACTTAGGTTCCCGCCCCTGCCGTGGGCCACTGATCGTAACGTCGCCGCCGCTGCTGCTGTCGTCTTTAACAGGGGCACGAGAAGGAGGCGCTGCAGCTCATGGCTACGTACCTGCCCAAGGACTCGTCGCCGGGCTCGGCGTATCAGGAGGGCGGCGGGCTCTACGCGCTTGGACTGATCCATGCCAACCACGGGGGCGAGATCACCGAGTACCTGCTGAATCAACTCAAGAACGCCAACAGTGATGTAAGCAGCTGTCCAAAGGCGCCACCGCCGGGCGGATGAGCGTTTTTTTTTGCTACTGGGATAACAAAAAAGTTTTACTTCCAGGGAGTCTTTTTAAATCCTTTATATTAAGTTCACTTGCTTGCTTGCGCGCTTACGACCGTGCAAATCTTTCGGTCGTTTTTTAACCCACTTCCCGTGATCCAATCGAGCTGACATTTTGCACACAGACTCGTTGTGCGTGACAATTTATTTTCGCGAAAAAACATTTCCAAAATTTTCCACTTTTTAGAAAAAAAACAATTTCATATTTAATTAAAAATACCAATGTGATAAAAATGAAACTCTTCCTCAAGAAAATCAGAAATGAATAATAAAATAAAACCGATGCCACGCATATAAAGGATTTAGAGTGACAAACTTTGTTTTTACGAGTTAATTGTTTAACACTTTCCCACACTTGAGTTGAGAGCATTCATGCGATGTCTTTGTCCGTCGGGTCTGCCCGTCCCGTCTGTATATGTCTTAATATTTGCTGTGATGTTGTCCACCCAGGCAGGATTTAATACAAGCAGGTATACGGAATTCATCTTCTTGGTTCTTTCGGTAAAGTCACGTAGAAGGGAAGTAATAAAATAATAAAAATAAAACATAATAAAATAATTCTAACGACGTTTCGGCCACAACGCAAGCAGCCGTCCTCAGGTGGAGAACAGGTCCGTCGACCACCTGAGGACGGCTGCTTGCGTTGTGGCCGAAACGTCGTGAGAATTATTTTATTATGTTTTATTACTTTATTACTTCCCTTCTACGTGACTTTACCGAAAGAACCAAGAAGATGAATCCCTGCAGTCACGAAAGCTTTAAATCGAAAGGTATACAGAAGTAAAGCAAATACTACCCTCGACTGAACACTTCTACAAATACTGTAGTTGTGTTTTTGCAGAGGTTCCTATTCATTTTATGAATGCAATGGCAACAGTTGTACAACCGTGATGTGTATTACCAATGACATTTAGAATTCAATTTGTATGAAGTTGTTTGCTATGAGGGACTTGCCTTTTGGTAAACCAACCAAATTGATGAAAGGGTTTCCCAATACTCGTCGATAAAATAGATAAGCCCTTTTGAATCAAGGCGATGTCACACGTCATGTGCATGCCTTGCTTTGCCCCCCCCCCCCCCCCCCCCCGCGGAGCCAGTGACAATCTCCTACCGTGTGACATCGGAAGGTTACATTGTGATCACTGCTGAAATACTTGAGAGCATAAATGCTTGTTAGATATCGTCATGGAACCATGCATACATTTTACTACTTGTTTTCTCTGGGATGGCATTTGAGTGAAGTGCCATATGGAAGTGACTTAATTCATAGCTAATTAGAGTTGCAATTATCGGTGATTAAATGATGGTGGGGGATGATTAGGAATTAAGACGTCACTTTGCTAAACGTTATACTCGGAAAAATAAGATGGTAATGTTGCGGGTTTACTCTCTAACATGCCGGTGTGCTGAACTTGGAACGAATTGGAATGTTTTGTTTACATCACGAACCTTACTTACGGGTGGTGGCGAGTTTAACGACACATTTTTATTTACATATTCTAACCCAAAAAAACCTCGATCAGAAAAATTGTTGGACATTCAACTTTTATCGTTTACAGCCCTTGGTCGATCCAACAATGGACAAAGTCCTCTGCCATGTCAGATATTTGGGGGTTGTTTGACCATGCCTCACCACGCTGGTTGGTATGGGTTGGTAAAGAGTAGTGGGGTCCCTGCTCTTAACAAATTCAAATGTTCCTTGCCCTGTGGTGTTAACCATGGCTGGGAAGACCCGAAGCTTGGGTCATAGGGTTCATAGCACTTTGTTCAAACCACTGCACCCATCACTCATCCTCTGGTTCAAAATAACATCTGGATTCATTTCCATAAAGTAAAGCAAATATAACCCGACCTAATGCATTTGGTTATGCTGGTTTAACTTTTTCGTACATTGGTCCATTTTTTTATCTCGAGGATTGTTATGAACTTTCTTTTCAGTACCTTGGGCAGTCTAACATGTAAGGTCGTCAATTTGTAGTTAATATTTTTTCAGGTTACACAGGCATGGCATATTAATATGGCCTGGGGCAATGGTGGTAATGAATGCTGATCGTAAGAGCTGTTGGCAATTATTTGGAACCTGAGTTCACTAGGTATCCAATGATTCTTCAACTAATTGTTTAAAATGTATTCTCACACGCACGATTCATACATTAACTTTTGTGTCTATGACTTAATTACAGTGTATGCGTGTCGTGCGCTGATGTAAAGTTCAGACATCTTTCAAAGTTTGGCTCAAAATAAAGAGATAATTAGATATCCATTTCGGCCGGTACCAGTTTGGATTACTACATTATGGTACTGAGAGAGATGGTGACAAGCTTGGGGAAGCCTTCATCCACCAGTGCATTGGTCATGATTGTCGGTGATTGTGTTCGTCTGACATTTAGGCTCGTGGTATAAATGAGACGGAAGAAATTAGACAAAAAGGATATTCTTGAATTGACTTTTGATCATGAATTGTGGAGAATGGTTGGTTAAATGCCTAAGGTTTGTGATTTAAACAGAATGGGAGTAAAATTGTACAGAGAATGATCTTTAAAAGCACCGCACTGTAGATGAAAAATAATAATGTTCAGTAAAAACACCGATCTAATTTAAAATAAAACCAAGTGACCTTTGAGAAACTTAACGGTCCATCCATTTTTATTAAATGGTTGCACGTATTCAGCAGTGCTGTTCACATAGAAGTGCAGATACATAAAATAAATTAAGTTTGAGGTCTTCATGTATGAATGTTGAACTTCTTTTGCACCGTACGCAGCGAACCATGCTAACCGGAGGTGTGGAGGACGGGCAAGAAAAAATAAACACAAACATTTTTTAAAAAGAAATTTGTTTTTAAACTAGATGATTTAAAAGTGCATAGCTGCCAGTGGCTTCCTAATATCGGAAAGGAAGAGAGCGTTCCAGACGGCCGCAGAAGCGCATTCTGAAAAGCGCCGCGATGCGGTGACCGTAAAATTAACTTAAGCCCTTCATGAAAGAGGGGTGGCACTTTTTGAAAGTGACTTGTCAAAGCGTCGCCGAATAAAGGTTGCCCTTCAGCCGATGTCGCTTCGTCTCGCCAAAAACAGAACTCCTTTTCTGATGGCGTGAAGAAGACATCGGGCAAAAGTTTGCGCTCGACAATTAAGTGCCGTGAGCTGTCCGCTGGAAATAAACCTTAATTCTCGTGCATTAATTACTCCCAGAATTAACTACGGCACTGCATTGCTTGGCAGTTGTGTGACATCCTCGTTAAGCCCCGATCGCTATAGAATGCTTCTGCCTGTCTGCAAAGGACATTTTACTTTGTCATTCAGGGACTCGAAGTCCGTATTTTTTCTTTAGTTGGAGGCTGTTGGATAGTCTTCATGTTATACGGGTTTCAGGCTGTATTGATTCTCTTTGGTTATACCTTTATTAACAATCCAAATTGTGGTCTTACTGTTGCGTACTTTTACAGCTCGGTGATTATTCAGTTTTATACTTTGTATAGTTATTTTCTCTGTTTCATTGTCGATTAGTTTCGTGAAGTTCTCCGGGAACTTTTTGTGAAATGCGCAATATGTGCTTTGTATTCATTTTACTAATTGTTTATTTTACAGTAAAACCTTGGATTGCGAGTAACTTGGTCTGTGAGTGTTTTGCAAGACGAGCAAATTTTTTAAATAAATATTAATTTGATAAACGAGCGAGGTCTGGCAATACGAGTAGTACGTGTATACGCTTTGTCTGCCAAGCGTCACGTGATCACAACTGATGTACGAGTGCTTTGGATTACAAACATGTTACCAGAACGAATTATGCTCGCAATCCAAGGTTTTACTGTATTTACCAATTTTATTCCGATGGGTGTGACGTCAAAAGAAGGAAAACATTTACATTTGCACCATACAAACAATTCTGTGCAACAACGCCCTGTTCGGGAACATTCTGGAAGATGAAGTCAGACGCTTAACTTCTTCAACTGCCTCTTCTCCAAAATTAGTCGGTGGTGCACTTGGTTATTTGCCACGGCAATTAAAGAACATTTTCTTGGCCCTTGGTGGCAAATTAAGTAAAAAAATAAAAAATAAATCTATCCTAACATGATTGTTTTTAATAGACCATTGATTTCCGACACGTGACAACCTGTACAGGTCACTCTTGAATATCAGACTTTCCTGCTCTATTGAGTTTTCACGTGGTCACATACAATAAACTCGGAACTTAATTACAGGGTGGTATGCACGGATTTAACTCGTGGTTTTAGCGCTGGCTGCTCTGTGCTACGACGTGGAATTAGCCTCTTGAGCCATCTGGCCACTTCCCCAAATAACAACCCTTTTGGCAATGTCAGACGGTTCCGAAAAGCGAGCCGCGACAACAAACGCATTTTTTGTTTTTTTCGGTAAAGTCACGTAGGTAAAAAATTAAAATGAATAAAAGTAAAATAAAAATAAAATAAAAATCACGACGTTTCGGAGGCAACACAAGCTTCCGTCTTCAGGTGGAACTGTCACAGCACGATAGCTGTATCAAGTGCAATCAGCTGATAAAGCCATCGTGCTGTGACAGTTCCACCTGAAGACGGAAGCTTGTGTTGCCTCCAAAACATCGTGATTTTTATTTTATTTTACTTTTATAAATTTTTTACCTACGTGACTTTACCGAAAAAACCTAAGAATATGAATCCTTGCAGTCACGAAAGCTTCAAATCTAGAACAAACGCATTCATCTACCCACTGCGGCGACCGAGCGAGCACAGAGAAGCCCAGCGCACGGTGTGTGTATCTAACGCGAGTGCGTGTCGCGATGCGTGTCGTGTCGCGCAGATCGTCCGTCATGGCGGCTGCCTGGGCCTGGGTCTCGCCGCGATGGGCACGGCCAGGCAGGACGTCTACGAGCAGCTCAAGTTCAACCTCTACCAGGACGACGCCGTCACAGGTCGGTTTGTGCCCGTGTCGTCCACCACCTCGCCCTCGCTGCGGCGTTTGTCCGGTGCCCCGAATACCGGCCCCACGGGATGTTAGCAACAGCGGCACGGCTGATTGCACGAGTTCCGAGATGGCCTTTGTGCGTGCTTGGCATGTGTATTCTCTTCATTCAGTTGGTTAGCACGGTTGGTTACGTATAGTGCGAAAGAAGTTCAACATACGTACATGTTCATGCATGTGGTAAGATGGTTAACTACCTTGTCTGGTTTTCAGGAGGTCATGTGTTCGATCCCGACCTTGAGGCTTGTATATTTGGGGTTTGCAGATTCTCCCCGTGGTCGCGTTGATATTTATCCGGGTCCTCCGTTTCTTTCCTCCACATTTAGAAGCGGCAATTAAGAGTATTTGGCTGCTATAAATTTCCACATGATAAGCCACTTATTTGGGCTATAATTTGTGGCCACTTTGCTATATATACCAGGCGAGGTAGTTAACAGTCCCGCCACCGCGGCGATGATGACGACGCTCGTGTTTTGATGACGACGACGCCGCCGTCGGCACGCGGTGTCTGCAGGTGAGGCGGCGGGTCTGGCCATGGGCCTGGTGATGCTGGGCTCGCGCTCCGCCACAGCCATCGAGGACATGGTGGCGTACGCGCAAGAGACGCAGCACGAGAAGATCCTGCGCGGTCTCGCCGTCGGCATCGCCACCGTCATGTACGGGCGCATGGAGGAGGCCGATGCCCTCATCGAGAGCCTATGCCGTGATAAGGTGAGATCTCCGGCCGGCCGCCACCCCGACCCTCTCACCTCCCACCCCCCCCCCTCTTCCCCCCCCCCCCCCCCCGTGCATTAAAGCTGAGCCATGTAAAGTTTCTGTATCCCTGCCTACGTGGCGGTTTGTGCACTGTACAAGGCGCCTCTTTAAAAAATTGCAGGGCCACGATGGAGGCCAAAATTGCGCGCCTTGTGCACGTTCTGACTCCTGGCAAAGGGCCAAGCGTTCAACTGAACGGTCGGAGAGCATGTGTCCCGCACATACGTACGGTGCAAAAGAAGTTCAACGTACTTGCATACATACGTGTCGGTGGCCAACATATACAAACAAGCAGCTTCATATGAATGCTCAAATTATTTCGGGACATGCCATTATTGCGCCGGTCATGTCAATACCATAATTCTTCAGTGATTGGTTTACGTCGTTTTTGGGAATTGTAAAATGTTGTGCGATGCGCTGACGTTGAATTTTCCCGGGCATAGCAATAAGTAACCCCATGAGAAAGTGAGACCTCGGGTGATGTTAGGACACGGGGGGGGGGGGTCTGCTCTCACTGTGCGTGTAACGGTATGAGTGACTCTTAATATAATGATGTTATTTTAGGATTTTAAAAAAATCTGTTTATTTTATTGGCTGTAATAACTTGACATTCAGCAAATGATGAATTCCTTTAACCTCGGGCCAAAAGCTTTTCTGTCAGGTTGGCATGGGGATGGAGGAGTGAAGCTAAATGCGTGGCTGTTACCATCTCGTCAAAAGGCAATTTTCAATTGAAGAATAATTCATATCCTGTTCCTGCACTCATGTCTCGTACAATACGTCCTTCAAGCATTACTTTTCAATTAATGTTTTACAAAAAATTATTGAACGTGCACACGAGGCTGCCGAGATGCATTATGTCTCGTGCAAAAATACTCGCGGGTCTAATGATCTCGGTCCTTCCTTGCCGTTAAAACGGGTTGAAATGTACTCATGATTGTGTGGCAGTTTTGTGTCTGAACGAGGTCACCGCTGTGCACGTTGTTGTTGGCGACATCGGTACTTGGGAGACAAAGGCGGTTGGGCATGAACGGTGCCAGTCACACACCGTCCTTTTGTGTACCTTCTTCTTTAGTCCAGTGGCAGGTCATGGCACAAGCACCTGTCCCACCTTCAGCTGTCTTTAGTTAAGAATCAGAATCTTTATTTATTCTGGAGAAATCCGATGAGCTATGAAGCTCTTTTTCAAAGATGTGCACTAATGTCTAGTTCGCTGTAAGCGCCCGCCCCTGATCCAGTCAACGAGCAGCATCTCCCTTCTGCCTCTTGGTAGCTTTCCCAAAATCTGTCCCCTCCAGAACCTCCTTTGTCAAGCTTTTACCTCTGACAATGTTGCCGAATCCACATCGTCTGCCTTTTCTGGATCATCAAAACACAAACATTGTCATCCACGCACTCCTCATCATTACACACCAGAAGAATCATCAACCAGCAGCCTCTAATGAGTACCTGGTGTGGATTGTAAACATCAGCACTGGCAAGACAAAGGTGTGCTCTTCTGGCCCTTGACAGTTGCTCGTTAACATCACTTGCTGCCAATAGTGTATGTATGTTGTAGCTAACCGTGCTAATCGGAGGTGCAGGGGAAGGACAACGAACTAAACACAAAAAGCAGTTCTAAAAAAACCAGTTTTCAATCTAGATTTAAAAGTGCATAGCTCCCAGTTGCTTCCTAATATCGGTAGGAAGAGAGCATTCCAGACGGCCGTAGAAGAGCGATGCGGTTGACCGTCTTTGCCCGATGGATAGCCAAACGCCGCTGTGAGGACGACCGAAGTTTCCGTGAGTTTGCTTGATGGTTTATGTCCCTTGACAAGATTGGCAAGGTATTGTGGTTCATTTGTGGCAAGCACTTTGTGTGTAATGAGTGTGACTTTCTTTTTTTAGGCTACGCGGTGGGGGGGGGGGGGATCTTTGTTTTTGTATGCGGGAGAGCTTTGTGCACCGTGTTTGTGTGAAGCCATGCGCCACACTCGTACCAATGAATGAAGCTCACTTGCAGCTCATCATCAATGCACCTTTGTTATCTCGCAAGGAAAATTTTATAGGATTTCTTCCCTCCCCCACCCTCCCAATAATTGATCCTGGCCAGGGGACAGTCGTTGAGATAATTGGGCTCCTAAGACCACGTAAGATTGCCAAGTGCCACGCTGTTATGAAATATCAATTTTTTTACGTTTTTATTGCCCATATTACACCCCGTCATCTACGACACAAATCTGCCCTGGCATCAGCTGTTCATAGGGGAGCTGTCAATGTATTTATAGCCGTTTATTTATTTTGATTCTCAATTTTGCCCAAGCGCCGAAGGTTGTGTGCCTAAAATCAATCGAGTTTTATTTCATCATTTGTTCATTCATTGTGAAATATTAAACCTGTGCGCCACACAGTAATGTGATATTATTTCTCCACCTACACGCGCAATGTTTGTTTTTTTGTGGGCATTATTGTATTTGACAAGTTCATCTCTCACATTTGGAGAATTATGCTAATTAAAATTATAAAAGCGTGAGGTGCTTTAAAATGCTTCATGGTGCTCGCGTTGCTAACGCCATCGCATCGTATTGCAAACCTCCACTGCACTCCTGGGCTCCGTATGCGATCTGCCGTTTGCGATTAAGCCTCTCGTGTAGCGAATCTGTTGCACTTGATCATTAACGGGTTATTGCACGAAGATAATCGCAAAATATTTAGTATTTGCACCGCAAAGAAGATGCCACCCAAAAAGACAATCTACCCCCCACCCCCCCATCTTCTGCTCATTTTTCCACACGATTGCCTGAATGCGAGTCCAGTAACGTCGCATTTATCTGACCCGCTCCTGACTGAGCTTGAGGCAAGATATTTTTTTGAAAAGGTCAGATCTGCAAAGCGTTCTGCGCATCGTGATCTTATTGCGCCGCGCTTATGCGCGTCAGCGTAGCGCATCGTTTATTCGCTCCCGGGTGGTAATGCGCGACAGTCAGATACTTTTGGACATACCTTGGCTGGCCTGAATTGTTTAAATTGGAAAACGGAGCGGGGGGGGGGATCGCCAAAGATGTAAAAATCCAGAGTGTCGTTGGTGGTGGGAACATTGAATTTGTCTTGGCATGTTAACATTTTATTTTCGTCAGCAATATGGTCTTGACCTTCTACTCCGGTATTTCTCGCATTGAGCTTCCAAAACTCGCCTGATAAACTCCGGTGTCATGGAAAGTCGTGGGGGAAAAAAAACAAACCTCTGTTCACAATGAATGCCTCGGAAAACTCGACGCACTCGTCAATAACATTGCCACAAAAGTAGAAAAAATATATAAAAGGAAATGTTTCTGTCAGTGATGCTTCTTAATAGCACGCAAACATAATAAAACCTCAGTATTGTCTGGAAAGTACTTTGGGTGTCCTATATTTAAAGAGAGCAAAAACTTGCTTCTTTTTCAAGTAACACGAATATAATACCTGTCACAATGATTTTTTCTCTTTCGGCGAAATCTTGGTAAATGTTAAGAGCTGTTGTGTGGTGATATTTTCGCGGTTGGAGAACATCCAATAACAGGCTTCATTGCCCATGGCGGTGCTCTGGATTCTCAATCCGGCTTTCGCCGACGGCTCCATTCACACCCGCGGAGTTTCACCGACCTCGCCGCGCTGTTTTCGCGCTCGCTTCGTCAGCGCGTGCACCTCAGAATCGCTCGCCTCTTGACAATAAGGAAAGTTTTACATATGCTGGTCATGTGTGTCGCTGCCTTTTCATCCGTGTCTTTCGCTTGTGGCCATGTTACTGCCGTGTCTATGACATACGTGTCTTTCACATCCGTGTCTATCACTTGTGGCCGTGTTACCGCCGCACATAAATGTATTTTCTTCGTGCATCACTGCTACTTGTCCACAGGCGTCTTCATAAAAAATACATTTCGTGTAATCCCCACGGGGCAACAGAACGTGTGCCTTCATAGGCGTTTTGGAGGCGGGCGTTGATTGCCAGCCCCCCCCCCCCGCCACCTGACTTTACCCCCTTTCTCCTCGTCCCACTGCGATGGGTCTTCAATGCATTCCAGCTCCGCATCATCCGTAACAGGGGGAGGGGGGAAGGGTACGATACGGCTGGTAAATATTACCTCGTATGCGCGAACACGTGTTACGATGTTGTGATGCTCCAAGGCACTGACCCTGTTGAAAAAGTCTACCAAACCGTTGCCCAAATAATGAGACTTTGAGCGGGACAGAAAGGAGGATTATTAGTTTATATTCAAATAAATTTTTTGCCCCCGACGCCTGTTCTTCGGCTTTTGTTCTGCCAATTTATTTCTAAACACAAACTCGCTTTGGAGGGTGTTACGCAAACCACGGCTGTGCGTGCTTTTATCCCCCCCCCCCCCCCCCTGACTCTTGTGCTGCCTTCAACTGCCTGAAACTTGCAGGCCCCCGTAGCACTTCTTCTCGCCACTGGAATCAACACTGACAGCCCTCTTTGGCCAACTGCCAGCCCTGGATCCAGACATTGAGCTTTCGCAGTATTTCACGTGATCTAATATTACCTTGGTAGTGGACACTTTGTAATTACGCATTTCATACCGAGTTTCTTCGTGTAAATGATCAGTGACTGGTCTAATGTCGCCCAACTTTCCCGCGTGACGTTTTTGTATTGTAGATATTGGTTGCAAAATCCTACGTGTTAACGTGACGTTTCTCACGTATTTTTTTTAAATTATTTTTATGATGTTTCTATATTTTAGTTTGTGCCGGAGGGAAAGTATTCATCAGCGGCTGCTCCGCTTTCTCCCCGACGGGAAAGTCCATTCATTGATCGCTAGAAAAATTGTGGCAACTAAATGATGAGCGGTTCTTCCGAAATGATTTGTAAACAAATTTTCGTCACGGATACCTCGCCGTGGGTGTAACGTTGGCTAGACTTCGCGATGCAGAAGTTGTGTCGGTTCACGGCAGATGAAAACAATGGGCAAGTTTCCTAA